AAGATTACTTTGTGTGGCTATAAACGGCTGTTAATGGAATGGTGAATTTTTGAAGGATTTTGAAAACAAAAAAAATGATAGTCATGCCGGCCCAGCATCATCAACGGTGAAAAATGCCCCAGCACGAAGTGGTTAAGAACCACACTCACCCAAAAGAGATTGATTCCATGGTCTACCCGCAAACCCATTTCTCATGTCCCTGGACATACACGCACTGTCATGTACAGTACATACTTACATGCACCTGTAAGTTGTACAAATGTACATGTACGATGACTGGTGTAAGCATATTTGTGGATCTTTTTTGTACTTTCATTCACAAGGGAAACATACAAGTTTGTCAAACCCAAAGAGTGCAAAGGTTTTTATATTTTCCATAGTGTAAATATACATTTTTCATGAATAAAAGTTTACCTTTTCCAAATGCATTAAAACTGCAGAATCTGTGAGTACATTTGCCACATTGAATACCTGAAAGACTGCTGAATTGGGTGCAATTGTCTTCAACGGCATGATTAAAATTTATCATTTTTTTTCTTGTAGTGGGAGTGGTGATGCATATTTCAGCTCCCACTTTCAGTCAAGTCTCCTAGGTAACAGTCTGTACAATGCCTCCATGCCGAGAGGTAGGTTAACAACCCATTTTAGAAGAAACTTTAAAATCACATGTAATGTACATGTACCGGTAGGTAAGCGACCACAAAACAAAACTCCAAACACCACCCTTTCTTGGTAAATCTCTAAACAAACTGATTTGAGAGTTAATTTACCGGGGTATATGAATTTGTCATCTTGCACCCCTACATGTTTGTGTGCAGGTTGAATACAAGAATCACTGTGTGAAAATTAACTCCCATACATGTACATGTGTACAGTAGCATGTAAGATGGTGGAATGCTACCATAGTGAACACCAATATACTCAGTGTCTACTTCCACCTAACACTCCCTTTGGCTCCTGCACATTTGTCAAACTTTGAGAAATTTTCTGTTTGTCTTCAAAACAAGTTATCAAAGATTGCTTGAGGAAGTAATTGAATGACTGGTGATAAAATTAAATATCTGTACCAGTACATATAAGAAAATGTAAGTCATTCTCGCAAAGGGACAGTCTAAGTCAAAGTTGCAAGCCTACTGGTAGATACTTTCTGTACACATGTAGACTGGCCTTCATTACTTGCATTCAGCAAGGGTCATGTGGCCATCAGTCATGTCAGTAATGTACATAATGCCAACATAAATTGCAACTTTTTAGACCTCCTTGACCCACTCCTTCCCATATGCATAGCATGTGCCTTTGCTCTCCTGCTGCATACCCACACTCATCCCGTAATATAGCACCGTGAAGGAATCAGGCTCATGGTGCTGGTTTGACACATGTATGGTACTGTAATGTTAAGATCCACATGTGGGTTTAAAGTTAATATGTTATAACAATTTTTCAGTGTATGAGAACTGGTGCTGGTCAGCATTCAATTTTGAAAGTACCAGTACTTATGATGCATGTGTATAATTTATTAACAGTAAAATTAGAACTCTGGGTGTGCATACATTACCTTAGACACCTGCAGTATGTTAATGATGATCCCCTGTACATGCACATAATTCTGGAAGAACAATTCTTTGATGTTATGACTTCCCTTGTTAACATGTACACTGTATATTTTAGATGTTGTGTATGGATCAGTAATCACACTTAGAAATCATCGAACTGGAGGCGGACTTCTTCATTCTCATAATCATCTTTATCCTGAAGGCTTCGGCCCGAGGCAACAACAGGTAATTGTTAATTTTTTTCAGTGGGGGTCATAGTAAATATAATTAATTATAATGAGTACAAGTGTGAATTTTGTATCTCATCAAAGTACACACGTAGTTGAGCTATGTTAGTTGTAATAATAATAGGTTGTCTTTCCTCTCCCCCCTCCCCTGGACAGTATACATGTACTTAACACTTTCTGCTGGGGCAGTTATGATGCTAGGCCAGGATATTTATCATTTTTTCATTTTTAAAATTCTTAAAAATTCCTGTCTTCATTTACTGGATACGAACAAACATGTGAAGGACTGTCTGGTGTCCAGTCTTTCCTGACAGACAAAATCTATGGTCACCTGAGTATTTCAGTCAGGCCTGCAGCCTTGTAAAAAGAACCCAGATTGTGCAGTGTTATTTAACTTTCGTTTGTTCATGAACCTGGCTCAGTGTGCTGCTGACCTCTTTTCAATAGGGGCCAGATTAGCATGCAGCAGTGCTGGAGCGCTTTTGTCGCTGGTGGTAATCCCCTCGCTCTAAATGCCCCAAACCGTTGTATACAGTTTCAAAAAAGGCTGTATTATCTCCACTTTTTAGAGTGAAAAAATGTTGGTGATTCCCAGCAGCCTAGGCTTTTGTTTCGAATACGGTCTTTTGTTGCAAGGTCCTGTTCCCTTTGTCCAAGTTCAGATACCCCAGCCATGCATATAAAGCATACATGTCCGGATCCGGAATCCCCGGCAGGAAGTGGTTAATAGTATAAGTTAAGTTTTTTAAATGCCCCCATCACATATTAGTACATGGAAGAAGAACCTTTGGAATCCGGCTCTCAAAAATATTCTTCCCTCACATTTAGAAATCCACTGCAGTTTTTAAAACAACTTTCGGTGTGTGACAACACATTCACCCGCTTGTTTATTACAATGTACATGTACTGTATATGTACATGTAAGCACATTTTCTGCAAGATACTGATACATACATGTATCAGAGGTTGTTTAATATTGACCAAGGTATGTATTAGGTTTTTTGATTTTTTTTTTCAATTTTATGGCACAGATTACAGCATACTCGTATAAAGATGAAAATAACAAGTGGTTGATTAAAAGAGCTGATGCTGAGTACGATCCAACAGGACCGATACATTTTGTGTCGCATGGTGATTATGTACGTCTTGAACATGTCCAGTAAGTGTTGGATTTCTCTTCAGCCTTGTTCAATCAGAGCATGAGTGGAACACTGCCTCAATGTGCCTCTGTTTTATTTCTGCTGCTGAACTATTCTTTTATTCCATTTATCTGGAATGTAAAAAGATCATGATACTAACATCTGGCAAACCATACACACTTCTTTTATTCAAACCTGCCTTTACTGATTTCAACTTCTGTAGGAAGTTGTCTGGTTATTTTCCCCCGAGAGATAAATACCCAATTGGCATGCCACCTTCAGTGTTTCTCTTAAAGTTTTGTATGAAGCTTTCATACAGTTCTGTATCCTACATGTTTTTAATCAGCCATTTGCTTCTGATAACATCATCAGGCTGTCTCCCCAAGGAGACCATTAGGTGTTGGCCAGTTCAGCAGAGATAATTGTGCACGTGATTGGATTTCCAGATAAGTTTACTTGATAAGCCCATACATGTAATTCACTACTTTTTAGTTTGACCAAAAGGATGCGATAATATGGTTGGTTAGGGCAACAGGTGCGAATGAGATGGCCAATTACTGTCACCCTTTTAAGTCACTCTACTTGAGTTCTTAGAAGTTTAGGGTTTGTTCTAAATACAAATACATGTTGAAACAAGAAGGGCTTTTACACAGCAACTTTTCTGTTGCTCTGTTGCAACATTTTTTAAAGCCCTTGCACAAAATACAAATTGTTATTACAGTTACAAAAACCTTTTTTGTGTGTCTGTTTCCTCTGTTTTTGTTTTAAAGCAGCACTGGGAGGAATCTTCACAGCCATGAAGAACTAGCACCACTTACTAAGGAACACTTGCAGGTGTCTGGTTATGGCATTGTAAGTTAATCAGTAACTCTTAATATGCATCAGTTCTGAATATGCATCAGTTCTGAATATGCATCAGTTACGCAAGTCCTGCAATTACTTCATTTCAGGCATTAATAATATTGAGTTAGAAACTAGCATCGTACATCTTGTAGTAGCCCTGAGTCAAATTTCTTTCATTGCCTTTACGTTTATTTTGTAACATGAGCGATGAAGTGTGTCCCCATTTCTCTATAAATAGCCCGTATTGCCCCGTGTCTCTCTCTCATTCTTGCTTGCGTTGCTGATGGTCACAGCGATTGCTTCACTACAACTTCTTGTGCTTCTTTCTTGGTGATTCCGGTTGTTAATTTTTATCCTTTTCTTTGCGTTTGTCATTGTGGTGAACCGAGTTGTTTGTCAGCAGCATAGAGCTAATATATTCTGGTGAGCTACAGCGACGGCGTTTATTTTCATATCTTATTTTATTTGTTACCCAGGTGGTCTATTTATTTGCCTTTTGATATAAAAATTCATTTACTCTAGGTTGGAAAAGAAGAAAAGTGCAAAAAGAAAAACACAAAAAAAGAGGCTTTAATTTTTTTTTATTATTTTCTGAGGCGAAGTAGCCACCCAATTATTTTCAAAGGCTAGGCCAGCCACTCTATTTTCAGAGGCACAGTTGCCTAAAATTTAGCACTCTTCCAAATCTCAAACTGTGGGCACAGATGACAGGGTCCACATCCTAATAAAATTTGAGACTTTATTTTGATTAAATTAATGAATTAACTGCGATCCTTTCTTCTTGTCTTCCTCTTTCTTCTGCTCACATGTACCTGTAGAATGGCACTGGAGACCAGAATGATATCTGGCAGGTTGAGATTGTCAATCCAAATGTAGGATTGCATGTCAAGACAGTGCTATCCAAGATCAAACTCATTCACTACCATACCGGTTGTGTGTTGTATGTAACTGGCAAACAGCTCCCCAAATGGTACGTAATATTTTATCATTGCTACTTGTAAGTAGATTGCATTGCAAAGTTATTGCAGTGGTAACACTTCAAAACATGAGTTTTTGTTTGTAAAAGATGAAATATAAAGCCTACATTTGGTCCTACATTACATCTCTTGGTAATAAAAGTTTGAAAATTTTCTTGAAGTCATTCATAATGGACTTAGCTCACAAAGACTATTGGCCGCGTTTTGATACAAACCTGCATACTAAAAATACTGAGAATCATGAGAGTCATTGAGTACAATGTTTCTTACCATGGGCATACATCCTGGGAGGATGGAAGTACATGTATATACATGTATCCCCCCCCCACTTTTTTATGATGAGCAAAAAAATTAAAGCAGATTTTGAAGAATTTTCAGGATTTCCCAACAACTAAAACATTTGCAATAACACTAAAAGGGCAAAGCAATTTTAAAAAGACATAAATATACCACTCTGATTTAAGATTTTGCATGAATTTGATACACATTCATTAACATCACCCCGTATATACATGGTCTCCCCCCCACTTCTCAAATTGCCATGGTTGGGCAAGCCATGCACCCCCTCCCATTTCCAACACAGATTTTCGTCACTGTTTCTTACTGCTATCTCATATTATGCTATGCTTACAGTATGCAGTATAAGCAGGCCATGTCCAGCAGGCAAGTTCAATTTCTACACACAACCCACCTCCAGAGACTTTCATATGTTGTGTGACAGTGTATACAAAACCAATTAGAAGTGGAACAAGCATAATACACTGTACATACATGTTCATGTGTGTCTTTGGGCAAAAGCACTAGCTATATACATGTATGTTCCATGTTTTACCATCAGCCACCAGTGCAATTTTAGATTACAAGATAGTGTCTACAGATCGTCTCATGTGAACTGGTTGAAAATGAAAAGTGCACTGCAATTTGGAACCATTGTCTCCGTGCTCCCACACTCAGGCGTATAAAATGCTTTCTACGCACTGAATAGTAAAATGCTTTCTACGCACTGAATAGTTTAAAACATTTTGAAAACCAAACTCCCTAATTTCTGTCACACACTGATGCTAAAGGTTTGTGCATGTCAAATTTGGAGAAAAGTGACATTCTGCTACATGTACATGTATATAAGCAGATACATGTACATGTATCATGCAAAGAAGACTTAAAGAGCATATGATGTGGTACACGTATTTTTTAGAACCTTATGTGTATTGACCATATAGCGGCCTCTTTTCATTCTTTGCACCCTGCCGCCATAGGCATAAAGAGCCTCGATCTAACAGCTTGTAGAATTGCATACTCGTATAAGAGCTACATGTATACAGCACGCGCAGAATTACTAAGCAATATATGCAGGAATCACTGAACCAGCTCGTGTAAAGATCGAGGCTCTGCATGCCTATGGCGGCAGCGTGGAAAGAGCAAATTACTGTATTCCTTCAGTGTTCATGGAAGTCATATACATGATTCCATATTGGATGTTGCAAAATAGTGCTTAAAATGTAACGGAACTGCGCGTTCTGGTAAAATAATAAAGTTAATTACCTCAACCATTTTCAAGATGTACTGTGCATCAGGGAGATGTTAGTTTTGATCATTAAATGTCAACTAAAATGTGCATTTACATGTATGCATTTTGTTCTTTGTTTCATATTATGCACTAATCATTTTCTTTTTATAAGAAGTGCATTCTTTATTCTGTGATCCAAGCTTACCTTATCAGGGCTTACCTGGTACCTCAAAATTACACTTAAAAAGAATAATTCTTTGCAGTTGACTTCTGAACAATAAGAACAAAAGATTAGAAACCCTTGGATTGAAAAGAATCCTTCTCTTCAGATGAAAAATATCTTTCTTGAGGGATTTACATGTACTGGTATGTTAGAAATAAAATGTGATGATGTTATCAATGATTGTTGCTGATGGGCCTGTTCAGAGATAACATCACTCTTTGTTTACACCTACTACTTCCTGTGCAGCTGGTAGAGGACCAAGGTCCACTGATGAGCACTATAGGAAAGCACACACCTAAACAAATAGTTGCATTATCAGGGCATGCAGAAGTCATTCTTTCAGATAGTTTTATTGGCCCTATCTTCTTTGTAAAAATCTTTTAGGGGTTTTGAACAGATGGAAGTCACATGTAATCCAGATACTAGGGATTCCAGCAGATTATGGAATGTGGAAGATCATGTCAACACAAGATGTAAGTCTAATTACAGACGGGCTGCCGACATCAGCTCCAAACTGAGAGTGAGAAATTGATAGTGCCAGTATCTGAATACTGGTTAACCACTTGCTGCCGGCTGGATTTTTCTTGAGCAAGACAAGATGCCGGCTCATTTTCAAGATTTTCCGTTTTCATTTAATGGCCGCTTATACCAAAATGAAGGACTCTTTGGGCACTATTCTAAAGCTGACAGGTAAAATTCATTGACTCCTAAATATTTCAGCCAGGCCTGCAGCTTTGGAAAAAGAATCCAGATCGTGTGGTGTTCCGTAAGATTCTTTTGTTCCCGAAACCAGCACAGTGCACTGCTGACCTCTTTTCAATAGGGGCCAGATTAGCGTGCAGTGGGGCTGTGTGGTTCATCACTGAGGTGGTGGAGAGCTTTTGTCCCTGGTGGTAATCCGCTCCTCTAAATGCCTCAAACCGTGGTATACTGTTTCAAAACAAGGCTGGATGTTCTCCACTATTGAGAGTGAAAAAATGTCGGTAATGCCCAGCAGCTCAGTCTTTTGTGCTGAGCATGGTCTTTTGTTATAAGGCCCAACTCTTTTGTCCCAGTTTCGGGCTCCCGGCTCTGCATATAAAGCCTATGTACTCAAAAGCGTCGCCCGGCAGGAAGTGGTTAAGGTTTACCTGTTTGTCAACTTGCAGCCCAGATTTTTTTTCACAACCTGGGCACATTACACAAATTCACCCTGGCAAACTGTCTTCACTGGCCAAACAGGATGGGTTCAGGGAGTCTAGTAGGAAATCACCCTTTATCACATACTGACCTTTTGTCCAATCAATAGTTGTACATTGACTGCTCCTCCAGTTTATCCATCCATAGGCTGTATTACACATGTAATGTGAAATGAAGCCACGTGTCTGATATTCCTTTGCAGTATTCGATTACAGTTTTATATGTTGTACACACACGTTTTGACCTCAGTTTACCCACTTGAAAGGATTTGAAGATTTTCCTTGTATCAGCTGATTACCCCAGTCTCAACATCTCATGTATGCCATTGCAACTTAACTACCAAGTACATTGTTTACAGTCCTAGTTGGAACATTAGCATCCATTTCCCCTGACTTTCTAATTCCATGTCTGAAATATCTAGTGCCTCTTTCAAAGAGGACAAGTAATACTGCCACTGGCTTGGCCAACAATGGCATGTACGTGTAACTTGATATCTTTGAAGTACATGTAGCGCAGAAGGTCAACACTCATCCACTGCCAAGCACTTAAACTGGCAAAACATCATCAATATTGCTCATACCTTTTAACCTTGATTTTTACCAAGGGCAACAACTTTATACTCCTTCCCCATAAGGCCAGTTATAAAGCCAATTATCCGGTCATCTCATTGCAATGCAAGGTGACTGGAGCTTACTCGACAGTTGCGACTTGAATGGTGCAGTCCTAAAGTTTGGTGTGAAAGGGAAACATAAACAAATAAAAACTTTGCAAAGGCTGTAAAGTTACCAAAGGTTAACCCAGCTCGTGATAGTAAAGAAACCAATGTTTAGAGGACTGTGGAACATACATGTTCGTGTAACATGCTACAATGTACTAGTACATGTATCTTGCACCACAAATTACAGTAACTTTTTTGTTTCTTGTAACTGCAGTGCCAAATATAAGTTTCCAAGTTCTTGCTCCATCATTTCTGGAGAAATTTATCGAGTCTCACCGTGTCATGCTTCAGGTGGGTGCAGTTGTACCTGTATTGTACATATAATGAGCAATCAATTTACATGTAAATGTGAATTCATCCCTATGTCTCAGTATTTCTCCTCTTACATGTACTTTTAAAAAATCTACCATGTATGATGTTACCCATCACTGTATTTGTAAATTGTGTTCTTGGAACTATGAAACTACCGGTACCAATGTAGGCTTATTGTATAGTTTAATTAATGTTGGAATATTTTGAAAACCTTTCTGTTTGGTTAAGAAGGGCCCGGAAGGTTTGGTAAGTATTTGGTACAACTATATACAGAGCGCATCAAAATAAAGGAAACCCACATTCAACCATAGTTTATTGGAAAACTGCACATTTCTTGATTAATTATTACATATATGTATATGTCTCCAGAAAGGCTGAAATGTCTTCTTCCCAATGACACCTTGATTTTGTGCTCAATGGCACGGTTGAACGTGTAACAATGCATTGTTGACCAGCAGGTGAAATTTGCACCGTAACAAGTTAGCATACACTGTACAGTAGATGATGCACATTTGAATGTGCTTAGGCACAAGCAAGTACTTTGGAATGAATGTATATTTGCTTGTCACAGTGCAAATTTCACCTGTTGGTCAACAATGCATTGTTACTCTTTCAACCATGACATTGAGCATATGATCAAGGTGTCATTGAAAAGAAGACATTCAGACCTTTCTGGAGACATATGATGCGTTGTAAAGAAATTTACAGTTTTCCTATAGATTATGGTTGAATTTGGGTTTCCTTTATTTCGATACGCCCTTTATAAAGGAAAGAAATATGTACTAGATCAATGAGAATGGATGTTGATTAATGGCCTCATGGTCTTGAATGTTTTAAGACTGGCCAAGCACATTTATTCCCATCAGAAATACAGTACCTTTTAAATCAGAAAGTCAAACATTGTTGAAAGACTAGTAATTTTCAACCATTATTCAACAATTAACTTTTTCAAGTTTTTTCAAACACCCCTCAAGCTATGTTACAATAAGTGTCTGTCATGCATAGTCATAACCAATCTCCTTATATGGAGATTGATTCTCAGCTGGCACATAAAGCCAGTGTAAAGTCGAGCCAGTGTAGTGTGAATAACGGATTCTCAAAATGCTGACTTCTTAGTGTTATTGAAAATTAGAAAATGTTCAATAAATAAAACAAGGGAATGGGGACCAGATTTCATAGTAGTTAAATTTTCAGGTGAAAAGTGTTTCAGATCAGCCAGCAGTCTTGATCATTGCTTTATCAACCATTCAATACTACCGGTAGCCACTTGACGGGATTCAACCCATAGCAATGGCATTACATATGTGTACATACATGCACATGTATGAATATCACTAAGGGCCCTCACAATACACACTTTTTCATCAGATTTGTTCTGGTGCACCTTTGGTCCTTTGTTACAGTCACTGAGAATGGGTACTTCCCTGCCATTATTTTGAAGTTTAATTACATGTAGTTAAATAGTTACTTCAATAGAAAAAGGTTTCAATGGTTTGTTGTGCTTCATCAAACGTTGAAGTCATAATACGCTTCGTAATGTCATAATGGTCGTTCCGTGAATGTGTTACTGATGTGTTTTCCTTTGACACATACATTAATTCTGTACATGTAAACTCTTCATGTCTTTTTCTCAAGGAGTGATTGTGTAAACTCCCTATTTGACAAAACTTACATGTAGAAAGTGTTCACAATTATTTCTTTTTGAGAGCTTCATGGTAGTCAGTTCTGTCCAAAAATTGATTTAAAATATTTTATTAGCAAAAGTGTAATGTGAAGTATTGATAAGGTAAAGAGTGTAAAAATTGCATTTATAGGGACATCAAACCAGAAAGCACTCTTAATATGTACAAATCATGCAGAGATACATGTACCAATGTTACATGTTACACACAATAAATTTCTATGAGACATGTATTATTGTCAGTAACTGCCTCTTACATGTATATAGTCTGGTCTGTGGCAAAGATGCTAATCATGTCAAGGGGTTTGGTCTTTTCTTTACAGGGAAACAGTGGTCTGAAGCCCAAAGCAGGTGAAGTGACATCTCGGCCATGGCAGTGGCCAATCAACTACAGAGTAAGTACATGTAGTATTGTTGGCTAAAGCCTCCTTGTGTTTTATCTCTGTTCTCACAAACTGTCCTGACCTTGCCCAAGTTAATAGTGCAGAAAGCTATACAGTAGACTGAATGATCCAGCCATTCATAAGGGACTGAATGTGTGCAAGACTTATTATTAGAATTATTGTAATGGCCAAGCATGCTGGCCAAGCGCATGTTTCTACTTCCATTCATAAATACTTTCTACGTTCACAGTGTTTCTTAATTTTGTTTTCAAATGCCCCTTAAGGTTGCAGGCTAGGATATACATGTAGGTCCCAAATTGCCTGTGCGGACCGAATCACGATTTGTATGCTGTCAAATTCTCTGCTATAAGAGCATTTCTTGACACGTAGACTGGGCAGTTTGTTAAGCTTGTGTTTCTGAAAGAATCGGACCAAACAAGGCCCTCCAAATCGCTCTATTTTGCCATGGAGTGTAGGCATCAATTTTCCAAATGGCGATGGGCCGCATGACTGTTTTTGAGGAGTGATTTTCTTTGGAGAGAAATACATACATCTTCAAAGTCATCGGTTAAGCCACTGAAAACTGAAAGGAAAATGAAAGATCAGGAAGTGAGCTTTAATTTGATATATGTCTTAAACACCAAGCTGTGAAACTTGTCGGTATTTTTCCTGAATTTTGAAGTGGGGATATTTATCACTGCTGTCTGTGGCAGCTTGTTTATTTGTCTGCAACCTATAGTCATTTTAAGACCAGCCATATACACGTACACGTTTATTCCCATTCATTAATTCATTTACATAATGAGTCAGAAAGTCAAAACAAGATAAAAAATTAGGATTTACCAACAATTTTGTTCACCAATTTTATGGTATATGTATGTGCTTCTACAAATCAGTAGAGACTGGCCACATGACAGGCTTTTGGCCAATAGGAATTGCTTAATTGTCTTAGATATTTATGAATGTTAAGTTACATGTAAGAAACATTTTACCGACAATGATCTTATCCACAGTGAAAAAAAAAGGATAAGCTGAGGTAGTTATCTTAATCCAAGGATACTCTGCTTCCCAATGGTTGCCATGGAACGTCAGATTCTGCTCAATCAAAGCGATCTCTTGCTTCTCCTTTAGAGTGAAATCCTTTGAGCCTGGATGTAAAAGGCCTTTTCACTGATTGGTGAAGTCTCTGATTTTCTACGTGTATGCTTGTGAGCTGGCAGTCAAGTGTTTAAGCCTGAACTACGATTTGTTATTGGCCCTGCTTGTCCAACTAAGATGCAGGCACTAATTGGGCAGTATTTGAAGGTTTCTATTATTCGTCTGACTCGACGGTGATCGTCATTGAACACTTTGAAGTGCCAGAGTTGCAACTCCTTCTATGTCCTTCCTCTGTGGTCATAGCCGTGTTTCATAATTAAGTACATGTACCGGTACATGCACAGAAGCATGACATAAAAGGTGGCACTAACTACAAAGGGTATTGGAAATATATGTAACTAAACATTGTCAAGGCATAAAATTGTTCTCACATGTTAATACTCTCACATCTAGAATGGTTCCAGTTCACTTGACAAGAAAAGGATGACAGACCCAGGTAGCCAGCATGTCATTTCTTTGTAAGGCTGCGAAATGTAGTCAGCAATACCAACACAAAGCCATTTTGCATGGCTGGTTCCAGTTCGATTTTTTTTTTCAACGTCAGGGTAGACTTGTTACTGTTGGTGTGTATGCCTGTAATATGAAAAACAAACAGTTCAGAGAACAGGCTCAAACTGATACATGTACATGTTAAAATCTTCAAGCAAACTTGATGTGCAGTTAAGGATGTTACAAAAGCCTGTGTGTGCAAATGTGCCACCTTTGAATTTACAGTAAATTTTGCAGTTGTACATTTGCTTTTAGTGTAAAAAAAATGCATTGCATTGAGTTAGAATAGCACATTACGCAGGGCTTGACATGGACCGTGCAATACGGTTATATGCCATGGATCGACTAATCAGAATTGAGAATTTAAGTTTTCCTGAAGGTAATACATGTACATGTATGATATTTAGGCCTACAAAGTGTAGTGAAGATGACATTACTCAAGTAATTACAGAAACAAATCAGGGAACTCTCTGTATGGGTATAGTAGATTTTCAACTTTGTTGCCTGTTATGTTTGTGTGTCATCCAGGCCTGCATGACTGTTCATTATCTTCCCAATCATTACCTGTGCTTTATACACTACATGTGTACATGTATATATGTGTGAGCAAGTATGAGTGATGACCATATTAACTATGGTTCAAGTAATGATGCATTGTTTTGACAATCTAGGTGAGTATAAACCAGGCCCTGGGTCATGGTCATATGCTTGCTGCCAATTGGCAATTTGATTTATCCATACTTGGGAAATCCTTCACACAAAAGTAATTGTATGAGATGTTATTGAGTATAAATGCCAAGACAGGGCGACTCGGACCAATATTTCAGCAGACACGTTTTCCAAGTGTTGGCGGAATGTCAGGGTGCAGTCAAGCTTAACCCCAAGGTACATGTATGTTGGGGCTGCCTGGAACTGGAGACTGTTGTTATTGACCATGATGTTGAGCTTGTGGTTTGCTTCTCTGTTGTTGAGGTGGAATGCAGAGGACAGGGTCTTGGCCACGGAGTTTCAGGTGCCAGTTCTTCATATAGGTTGATAGAGTGGTCATGTCAGCCGTAAGTCCCATTTTGATCGCTCCCCAGCTCTTGTCAGACATCAGGATAGGGAAATTGTCTGCATATCCGTACTTCTTAGACAACGTGTCTGGGAGGTCGTGGATGTAGATGTTGAACAACATCGGGGCTAATACGGAGCCTTGAGGGACACCATTCTTCAGTCTTCTAGTCCTGCTGTGTTGACCGTCACTGGTGTAGAGGTTGAAGCTGCGATTGGTCAACATTTCCATGATGAAACCCACCATATATGTTGGTCCGGGATTGTCTGTAGGAGCTTAAGGTGGAGACCACGGAGCCAGACGGTGTCGTATGTCGCAGTGAGGTCGAGGAAAACTGCACTCACCTTCTCACCTGTCTGGAAAGAGTCCTCGATGTCTTGAGTGAGGAGAGTTACCGGTACCTGGTCTGTTGTTGATTTCCTGCGACGGAAGCCAGCTTGCTGCTTCAGCAGTTGAGGGTCTATCACTGTGTCAAGGCGTGCATGAAGGAGGCGTTCCATGATCTTGTATGGAATGCAGAGGAGGGCAATATCCCTTTGGGTCATCCAGCAGCGTGTTGGGCTTCGGGAGAGCGATGATTTTAGCCATATCTTCGGAGCTTAGACGTACGGAGGCAAAGAGGGCAGAAAGAACAAAGCACTCTGTCGCTTTGCTACCCCGGTGCAAGATGAACTTGGGGTGGATGTTGTCAGGCCCGGCTGCTCTGCTGTGGGTGTGCCCGGCTGTGGGTGGTAATCGGATTTCACAAATGAGTTCAACTAGGGTTCTTTCACTGTGGTTTACATGCTTACAAAATACGTGTAACTGCTTGGTGGTCCAACTATTGTTAATGCCCTACATTTTTGTGTACATGGTTATGAAATAATCATTGTGATTGGCACCAGTACGTGAAAGACCGGGGAGACAGGGCCTTTAGGGGAGAAGCACACCACTGCCGAATGTTAGCAGCTTCATTTTATGCTCACTTGGCTGACTCCAACCTCAATATCACACGGGAAACTTGTTGGCATCATGAATGCAGATGGGGGCTTATGAGTAAGTGCTTAAAATTTTAATACAACCACACTGTTGTCAAACAAGGTTTGCAGCAGATTTGTTTGAATCGCCAAGGTGAGACATAAAGAGTGTATTCTATGTCACACACACACACAAATGTGTATTTGCCTGCAACTGGGGACCCCTTATTGTTCCTCTTTTGTTTGTACTTTTTTAGAAGACCACCTACATGTATATGTTTTGTACACAGTTGTCAATCGAGGACCCTCTGTCAGACGGGGACCTTATTCTCCTCTATTGTTCAGGGTCCCCAATCAAATGCAGAAACAAACTCCACACACACGCAAACGTGTTTTGTGGGCAATCGTGGACGTTCCTATTGTCCTCTTTTGTTCATACTTTGACTTTTTTGGAAGGCCTCTAATATGTTTTGTACACGTTTGGGAATTGGGGACGGTCATTAACTCTTTTGTTTAACATTCACGATTGTTTGGGAACATCAGCCATACATGTAGACACTGCAGATGGAGGGCATACTTCCCAAACTATCAGACGGAGGACTTTTCGTCCATGTGAGTGCAGCCTATAACACTGAGGACATAACACACAAGTTTGTGGTTGTTTGGGCCAGTAAAATTAGGTTGTGTTATTGGCATACTACTGTAGGGTTCGTCATCAATATGATATAATGTCTCAAGAGAATGGCTGGTGCGGCATATCATAGATTAACTTGGCTACAGCTTCATTGTGTTACAACAAAAGTCTCTGACGTTTCTCCAAGTTCGGGTCTGCAGTGCCATGGTGCAAGCTGTTTCGCTGTCCTGCTTGCCAGGAACTTTCCTCAACTGGAAGAAGCTGCATAGGCCTTCTTGGACGTCTGTCTTCTCCGCTGTAGTCCAGGGGCGGCGCTTCATTTGTCTCGATGGCGGAGAGGGCTCCCTTCTTCATGATGCAGCAACACCAGGAAGCTGTCCTATTAATGTAGAGGCAAGAAAAGGGCATTAAAATGTAGGTGACAGCTCAGCAGACAGCCTGCCTGCGTGACAAACAGACAGCCCGCCCGCCCGACAGACAGACAGACCGACTTGCCAAATCTTACCATGTATGACTGATTCATCGCAGGAGTCTTCACTGCTGTCACTGTTGTCCCTACTGCCACTGCTGTCCTCTTCACTGGTGAAGCCTTCTGCGAGTAAAAATATTGAAATCAATCAGTTAAAGTACACATACATGTACAGGTATCTGGCAGTCTCTGCTTGGCGTTGGGGTGGGAGAATGAGGGGGGAGATGGATGGCAAAAATGGAACATTATTTTTGGAGTTTGTTGGGCAAGATACATTTTTGGGGTGATTTTTGGCCTCTTTTTCCTTTGTACTGGTCTGTTCTTCGGGGGGGGGGGGTTGATTAGGAAGAAATATAATGTTTCTGGCAGGCCTACAAAGTGTGAGTTTGGGTTTGGTTGACTCGGTGTAAAGTCAAGTGTTGGGTAGATGGAACATGGGAAACATGGTTTGAGTATAGGGTGCCCTTACCTCCAGTTACATGCATGTCGTCCAAGGATTTGCCCTGCCGGGAGGGCAGGTTGCCCCTCTCCAACCTCAGGAAAAGTCTGGACACTTTGGTGACCCGCTGTACAGTATCTGGCAACTGGTAGTATTCGCGATATGAAGTTGACTAGAGTTTCAAGCTGTTGTTCCTTTAATGCAAGAATTTGAGAGGTAGTTGCTACATGTTTACGGAGTTGGGTTGACCGGATGCTGGATGCATTGTCAAGGCCAGCCTTATCTGCATATGCCCTTAAACAGTCACTCCCTCGTATGTGGCCTCTCCCAGCATAACACCATGCAAACAAGAAGTTGTTGTTCTGGGCTACTCCAGCTTCATGTCTCTTGGCGACCAGAGTATTCAACCACACTACTGCCTCATTGCTTAGAAGCACAGAACAGTTCTGCCTCTCTTGCCGACTATTTTGACAACACGGAACATCTTGCACAGCTGGCGTTCTAAATCACTCAACAGGCATTCCCCCTCCAGTTTGGCTGTGGTGTGCTTGTGGAAATCTTTCACCTTTGAAACCTCCCCCTGTCTTCTTCGGTTGAACATGATGAGGTGGCACAGACTGACCTCATTCAATTTCTGCCAAGCTGGTCTGATTTGTCTGCCCCGCGCACCTTGGAGGAGTTGAAGTTCCCGGTTGCCAGCTTCATTAAGGATCGACGACATTTGAAGTACATCAGTGTTACGATCCCAGTTGATCCAAATCCTTTTGTGTCTCCCTGAAAAGGTACGTGTGGAATTTATGCATGTTCCAAAAAACCTATAAAGACTCCGTAGTCATCGATTTTGTTCTCAGTCAGTGCCTATATGCTTTTAGCATGTGCGTTCCGAAATAGCCAGCGTTGGGTCAGCACCTCCTTGTCGTCTTTGCCTCTTTACTGCTGGACCGTGGCCAAGGCTGACACCGCTGAGGGACCGTGGACCCTGGAGTGTCGTAGCTCCATGTGGAAGCCGAATCTCGGGGATAGACACTGACCTACCTGTCCGAACTGGGCTGCTCTGGCGCGGAGTGTGGAGGTGCTTGGCCCGACGACCGCGCT